CGGATGGTTTAGCTCTATCGGACCAAACCCGCACAGCTTGAATTCTTTGAAAAATCACAAGATGCCGATCGAACTATTCGAAGAGGAAGGTCTTGAGAGAATTCCCGATCTCCGTCTTTCGGAATGGCTTTTTTTAGCGACTCTCGATCGACCATCAGTTAAGTCAAAGGATGGTCTGGTCAAAAAAATGATGGATGTTATCAAAACAGAGAGTGAGCAAAACGCACTATAGTTTTAATTTTTTGAATCATGTCCTATATGCCATATTAAACGAATACAATAGCTGCATTTTTAAATTTACTTTTTGGTTTCTTTTGTTACTTTTAGATATGACTCCTTTTTATAAGCTATTATGTAAGCAATTGCACCTAATTGAAGATCAGGATCTCGTTGCAACTATGGAAAAGGCAAACGAGGAAAAATTGAAGGAACTTGAAGAAAATATTAAGAAGGCAGAGGAGTCAGACGGTGAAACTGAGATTCGTGAGGCTATGATTGCCAAGGCTCATTTTCTCAGCAAAATTGGCGACAAAGCGTTAGCCTTGTCTCAATTCCGCACTATTTTAGACAAAACAGTTCTTCCCGGTTGTCGACTTGATATTACCTTCCATCTTATTCGAATGGGGTTCTTCTGGAATGATAGGGACCTTATTACAACGAACATTGAAAAGGCTAATAGTTTGATCGAAGAAGGCGGTGATTGGGATCGTAGAAATCGATTGAAGGTATATCGTGGTCTTCATAGTCTTTCAATTCGTGACTTCGACTCTGCTGCCAAGCACTTCTTGGATGCTGTTGCTACTTTCACTAGTTATGAATTGATGGACTACAAGAATTTCATTGTGTATACTGTTCTTACGGCCATGATTTCATTAAAGCGTCAAGATCTTCGATCAAAGGTATTCTGTAATAATATTTATTGTTTTTATATTCTGATTTTCGCAAGGGCAGTAATTCCATTTGCTTTTGTTTCTGACGTTTCTATGATAAATCGACTTAAGTAAAGGTTTAGGGAAAATAATTTTTTAAAGGCATTAGTTGCAAATATTTTTTTTGAGGTTAGCTGAACTTGATAACATAAAATTGACAAGTTGGTTATAGACTGTAACTTTAACATGATGCCGTTTAATCATCCAATTGGATTACATTTGTTCGAATTTTCTGCTATTGCTGGATTTTGTATAAGTTCAGGTTTTGCAGAGTATTTGCCACCTAACTCCATTTTTGCATTTTTTAGGTTCAATTCAGTTGTTTGATCTAGTATATCTAGTTGTCTGTATATATCTTGATCTATTTAGAGTTTCATTTCCATTGCAATTTTGAATGGTTAATACATTATTCTACTCAAAAATTTGTAAGTAGCGATGAATTTATTTTAGGTTGTGATGGGCTCAGAAATTCAAGAAGTTCTTCACAGTCTGCCTGCTGTAAAAGAATGCCTTATGTCTCTCTTTGAATGTAGATATGCTGATTTCTTCCTCTATTTGGGTAAGTTTTTTTATTGCTCATGCATTTTTATACCCGCCCTTTATTCTATTGTAGTCACATTACAGGATACTGTTTATAATTCAGTAGTTCAGTAATATGGTGGTGGGGAGTGAAAGTATAGTATTTAGCTCCTGGTACACAAAGACTTCTCTAATTATGATCGGCACCTTATTTTCCTGTCATTGTTATTTACAAATCGGCGTTTGCTTAATAGCAATTTTCTGGCAATTAAATTGGACAAACTTTAAAAATGTCACATTTAGAAAGACTTCTAATTTGCGTGAAGGTAAATTTGTCTGTAAGATTTTGCGGTGAAGTTTCCCCAATCCTCTCATAACTATTGATATTGCTGGCTGCAAATTCACCTACTTGCTAGTGAAATTTCAATTTATGGTAAAGTCAATTTGAGTAGATATGTTCTTTAAGGTTTGCTTTGTTAAAATGTCTTAACTTATAAGTTATACAATGCTCGATTTGATTTACGATAAGTTTTACTTATTTTGTTTTTAAACACGAATTCAAATCGATTTGAAATTCTTCGAATTTTTCTGTTTTTTTATTTTTCCCTCGAAACGATCAAAGTTATTTGTCAGTTATTCTTTAGTATGTGCCATAATAGCCAACTTCCGGAATAAATGTTGATTTATCTGCAATTTTGTGTTACTCATTTGGTGACGTGAAGAAATAAGTCAAACTCTGCTTATTTTCCTCTCAAGGGGGATGCATTTGCTTGCCATTGTTTTAGATTTTCATCTAATTTTGCAGCATTATCAAAGAGCCAGCTTTGAATTGCATTTAATAAAGAGAGTTCTGCTTTAGCTGTTTTATGCTCAATGAAACAATTGCTAATGAAAAAGGATGTGAGTGTGTGCATGCTATAGCGCCCATCGAATCGGGCATATTATTGTTTTAGTCTCCAAACGTCCATCAACTTCAAGCGCGCGCCTTACTGGCGTCAGATCCATTTTCCTTTTTTACGCTAAAGCAATTTCATTACGACCCTACTAATTTATCTCTACACCTCCGCCCGCCCCCCCCCCCCCCC